GGGCGGGGCCCGGGGCGGGGGTGTGCCCTGGGGGTGTCCTGCTGGGTAGAGTGTCCTGTGCTCGGCCCCTCCAGCCCAGTATTAACTATATTCTGACGGCGATGGTGGTGGCTCCGCTCCTGAGGCTACCAGGCACCATCTCCTGCACAGCCCACTGGCCAGACCTGACCACCTCCTGCCCAAGACCCTAGTGGCCACACAGCAGGTGCTCAGTACATGCACACGCAGAGAATCAGTGAGGGGACGCTAGGGCACCAGAGTCTCTGAGCACCACTCTGCGGGTGCCCTGGGGGAGGGGAGGATCTGCGGCTCATTCTCCTGGAGCCTCCAAGGGACACTGACCAAACCAGGACAATAATCACGTAACCATAGCACCAGGTGCCACCAGGGGTCCGGAGCAAGGGCTGGGCGCCGGGACACACAGGATGGCTGGCGCCCCACCCAGCGGGACAGGCTCCCCCGGAGCTGGCTACAGTGCCACCACATCTGCCATGGCAGCATGACCAGGACCACGCGTGATGACGAGTTCCCCACCACATACCTGCTCAGTGATGGACCCCCAGATCCTTCCCTTGCACGATTCCCCACACGGAGTGAGTGTTGAGGGACCTGAGCAAGGCCGGGGTGATGGCTCCTTCACAGAGATGGTGGCCGCGGGAGAAAGACTGGCCCGACCCTTGGACATGGGTGGACTGAAGAACGAGGGCTGACTGCGTGCCTAAGTGGGCAATGCTCTGCACTGTGGTGACCTTTGGGAACTAAGTAGGTTGTGTGGCCGTGCACAGTCCTGGGAGGCGGTCACCAGCTCGTGATGTGGGGACATAGGTCTGCTCTTAGGGTGGCTTTGCTGACCCCTGGGACCCTGGCCAGGGCACCCCCATCTTTCAGAGCCTCCTTGTTGCATATGTGAGGTGGGACATTCATGAGGATTAAAGGCACCTGTGCAGTGGAGGCCTCACCCCACCTGGCACAAGTAAAAGATCCACAAACAGGAGAGGGAGGGCCCCAGTTCTAGGGCTTAGCTGCGTGACAAGGAGCTGAGAGGGTGATGGTGCCAACCCCCAACAAGGACACCCTGGGCCGATTTGGAGCCTGTTCTTCCACTTCAGCCTCGCAGCTTCTCTGAGAACAGGAAACCGCCTGCCCTGTCCCAGGCTTGAGGGGTGGCCAATGCAGCCCCTGAACAGGAACTAGAATGACAGTCTTGCTGGTGTCACCTGTTCCCTAACACCTTCTGCCAGGAAAGCACGTGCGACAGGGAGGGCAGCCGCACGGGGGCTCCTCGAGGTGGCCGGCGTGTCTGTGGCCGCACAGGGGAGCCTCCGCTTGCCCTCCCGGAGCAGTGCACCGTTCACTCAGCCTCGCCACGCTCACTGGGCTCTGCTCTTTGCTGGCCCTGTTCCGGTCCCCGGGTTCAGAGAGGAGAGAAAATTAAAGGACAGGGGCTCAGAACACAGAAGAGACAGAACTTTCTGGCTGAGCTCTGCAGGTGGGGAGGGCCTGCCTGGCTCAGGTGGGGAAGGCGAGGCTGTGAGGCACCCCAGGGCACCAGAGTGCCCAGGTGCGTCCCCAGGGAACCCCCTCTGAGCAGTGCCCACCCCGCCCACCTTGGGGTCCTTCTTCCTCAGCAGGCTACCCAAATCCTCCCACGTGCTTAAAGGCAGATTTCCTACACTTACAGAAGACTCCACTGCTGGCCTCTCCCAAGTGCTTATCAGACCGGAGGGCTCCTGGGCGTGCACGGTGGGTGGAGAGAGCACGCTGCCAAAGATAGACCCACGATTTACATGGCCAGCCACTCGTCCTGCCCTCTGCCTGAGAGCAGACAGAGGGGGCACAGTGCGGGGCTGCAGGGCAGGGAGACCCAGCGGGGACCCTGCTGTGGCTGCAGGAAGGACAGGCACCTGCAATGGACGGTAGGAGCATTCTCCTCAGCCCCCCACACACACAGAGAGGAGAGAGATGCAGCCCTGCCCAGCGGGCTTGTGCTCCTCAGGGCCCAGCGGCAGCTTCTCTCCAACGAGCAGTCGGTCTTCAGTTCCCTGGGCTCATATCACAGCCGTCAGAATAACTGTCAACAGTTTAGTCCTCTTCAGAAGTCTTTGAGTTGAATTTGGGATTGGGTCCACTTTGGACTGGCTGCTTGAGCTGAATTGTGGCTCTGTTAGATCATGTGTGCCTGTACACACATCTTGGGTGCCCTCAGATGCCTCCTGCTGGATGGAGCCTGGGGTGGGCCCAGCTGCGGGGTGGGTGAGGCTGAGCGTCTCCACAGGGCAGGCTGGCTGTAGGCCACAGGCCAAGCACCTGGACGCCGCTCTGGGCACTAGCTCCACAGCAGGCTTCCTCAGCTGCAAGCCAGAGCCTCCTCTAGGCTGGAGCTCCTGTTCCCTACAGGAGCACAGGCCCCGGACCCTGGTCTGTGGGGCATCTAGGGAACTGGGGTCCTTCAGGGGTGCAGGACTCCGGGCATGTTCCCACTGCCTTGCCTGCCAGGAAGGTTGAGGTGGTTGCAAAGATGGGTGCAGCCTTGTCCCTGGCAGGCCCCAGGCTCCCATGCTGGTGTGAGGGCGGACGCGCTGGCTGTGGGGGGCAGACCCCTTTGATCACGGGACCCTTGGCTTTGCCCAGGAGCAGTGGCCAGCTCTTGATGCCCTGGCAGCAATCCGTGCCCTCCTCTCCCTTCCCACATACTGATAATTTTCTATTATTTCCTCCTTCTTCCATAGGGAGTGGGCTGGTGCCTGGCACTGGGTGTCCCCAACTCGGGCCCTGGGTCAGAGCTCTCACAGGCTCGCCATATCCAGGGACACACCTGTCCTCACCTACCTCCTTGCGCACTTGCTCACTGTCCCCCCTTTTCGGCTGTCTCTTGCCTGCCTTCCATGTCAGTAGTTTGCAGAAGAGAGACAGAAGATGCCTTCTGCAGGTACGAAAGATATGAGCAGCCTCTGTGTGGGGCGCGGGAGTGGAGGATGCGGCTGCCTCCGAGGTGGCAGATGGTGAGCCCAAAAGACATTTCAGGGAGGACCCGGGCCTGCAGCTCTTGTTGCCTCGGAGTCGCTTCCCTCCTGGCCCCTGCCGTGCCCCAGGCACTCCAAGGCCTGGCTGTGCTGCCCGATGTGGGGCTGCTCTTTATCTTCCTCACTTGTAACAAAAGGTGACCTTTACGGTGGAAAGACAAATGGACTCAAGAAAAATGTTTAATCCTGTGTCTGGCTCAGAATGTTGGGTGAAGTTTGAGTTCGGAGCAGTCTTGCCGGTTCACTTACCTTCTTGATGACGTGCTGTCTGTCACTGGCATTGCCTTGTCTCAGGACTCGTGCAGATGACACGTACGCAGTCATCGCCTGCTGCCCTGGCGTGTGACCCGTTACCACCGCAGACCGCCACGGTGGGGGGGCTCTGATCCGGTAAAACAGATTCTGTACCACATTGAGCCGGACAGAGCTGCTTGCCCTTTGGAGATGGTGTGGCACCTTCCGGGCTCTGTGCCCCGGACTTGGTCTGGCCCTTCCTTCTCACCTCTCACCTCTTACCCCAGCAGGGCGGCAGGACTACGATCTCCTGGTGATTGGCGGGGGATCCGGCGGCCTGGCCTGTGCTAAGGAAGGTACGTGTTCTGTGTCCTGTGTCCTGCCAGTGTGGCAGGCCCTCTGAGCTTCCCGGAGCCCTGGAGAGGGCAGTATTGTTCTCTGGGGCTGGATGGGGATGCACCCTGTGTGGCCATGAGCAGAATGCATTGTCTCTGCAGCTGACCTGCCGTTCTCCACGGCCCTATCACCCTGCCAGGGTCACCCCAGCAGGCTCGGTGCTGTGCCCTGTGCCCCAGCTGTCTGTGCGGCACACAGCAGCCAGGGTGGCGCCCCAAGTCTGAGCTCCAGCTCCAGGCATCACAGGATCCGCCCCACCCATCGGCCATGTCTCCCGCACCTGTGTCCTCGCTCACCTGCTCCAGCCCCTGGCCTCCTCGCTGACTGATGTTCACATGCTACCCAAGGGCCATCTGGCCTTGCACCTCACTTGCTGTCAGCCTGCCCAGATAGCTGGGGGACTCACTCACCTCCCTTCAGTCGTGGCTACTGACACGGCCCTACCTAGAATTGCACCCTCCTGCACATCAGGTCCCCATCACCGGCCCCGCTGGCCTTGCTCTTAGCCCTGGCACTGTCCCGCAGAGATCCCATTTTGTTCTGCTGGCTATGGCTTGCTCTTCTCGGGCGCCGGGCACGCAGGGGCGCTCTGTAAAGATATGTCTAATGGAGGGAGCTGGACCCAGAGGCCTCCAGAGCCACCATGTTGTGGTTTGCCGCTAATCTGGGTGGGAGCAGAGGCCACTGTTTCCCTGGGAGTCTGCGCTCTACTGTAGGCGTGCGGGCCGTCTGCCGCCTGCCTCAACGATAAGGAGGCAGATGTGTGCGAGGGGAGGATGAGGCGATGGGAGATAAATGGGCCCAAAGCGAGAGGGCGTTGAGCAGGCACGCGGGCTGGGAAATTGGCTCTCTGACATCAGACAGTGGGTTGGAGAGTGAAGAGGGCGTAAAGGAGATTCACTGTCCACTGCTGTGGCTCCAAGGGGCAGGGCGAGGCTGGTAGCCTGTGGTTGGGAAGTCTTCCGGCTGATCTAGGGGAGTACAGAGGGACCCGAGGTCCTCACCCCATTGGACCACAGAGCCAGCCCAGGAAAGGGCCCGCACAGACAGCCACCTGCCTTGGTGGTGTCCCTCATAACACG